AAAGGAAAAATTTTATTTAATAGAAAGCTATTACAAGGAGATTAATGGTATTTTTAATGAGTTCGATAAAATTTCCGTAATAAGAATATTTATTGAAGACACAAATAAAAGTATTATATACAGAGTGTCAAGCATTCAGAATTCTGAAGACGTCCAGTAAATAAAAGAAGTAATAATTGATATAACAAATAATCACATGATAGGAAAAGCTATGTTATCGCAAGTTAGTAAGGCCTTGGACAGAATTAAAACAAAAGAAAAGGAGATTGATACATTATTTGTATCATTATCCAAGGAGCATGTAAATAATTATAACTCTGCAAAAATATTTATGATGGTTCCTATAATATAATTGATATCATAAAAGATCAATTATGAAAAATATCATGTATAATAAATTAGAAAAAAAATATATAATATACTAAATGCACCTGTTATTGATACTTAATCTCTAGGCAAAAAGAAATTAATAGATTATATAGAAGAACAAAGAGGAAAATTATATGGAGAACAAGTTCCAAAATTATCTCAAGAACAAAAGCATTCGGATGAAAGCGACTTGAACAATGGTAAAAATAATACTTAGAATAAAAATTGATATCATACTAAATCTGTTGAAAAAAAAAGAAAGATTTTATATGAAGAAGTTATTATGGGGAAACTGTTTGTTATGGTATTGAATTCATTGCATTTAATCGTAATGATAAAGACTATATAGGTAATGATTCTCTAGATGAATTATTTAAATGTGGTGTTGTTAGTAAAAAGCAGAATAAATTACAGCTAATAGATGTTAGTTCTACATAAAATCATCAATCTGAAACGTAAAACATATTTATCCATATATAAATAAAAATATAGCTCAAAAATTACATAAAAGGAAAACACTATTATAAATTATTTCCCATAAAGAACGATAAATAGAAAAATATAAAAACAAAATACATGATCAAAACAAGCACTAAAATTAAATATTAATTCTATATAGAAATTATGATTATTATAATATATGAGTATATATTATATAAGTTATATTTATATAATAACATAATTATAATATAATTTCTACTATATATATACATATATGTAAAATAAACAATAAACATAATACTAATAATCAAAAAACAACAAAAATGAATGTAAATAGACAAGATATAATATTACAAATTAACATTATTAAAATATAAGTAAACATTTAAAATAAACACATATCCCGAAACACTATAACATGTACGCTGAACAATAAAACTCATAACCTAAAACTAAATCATAAACCGTGAATCACTAAACCCTGAATCCCTGAACCCTAAACCCTGAACCATAAACCATAAATCCTAAACACTGAACCCTGAACACTGAACACTGAATACTGAATCCTAAATCATTAATCCTGAATCCTGAATCCTAAATCCTGAATCCTGAACCCAAAACCTGAACCCATAACCTGAACACTAAAACCTAAACCCTGAAACCTAAACCCTAAACCCTTAAATCTAAAACTTTAACCCTAAACCCTAAACCCTTAAATCTAAAACTTTAACCCTAAACCCTGAACCCTAAAACCAAAACCCTGAACTCTAAACCCCAAACCCTAAAACCTAAAACCTAAACACTGAACCCTAAAACCTAAACCCTAAACCCTGAACACTAAGCCCTGAACCCTGAACACCTGAACCCTAAACCTAAAACCTAAACCCTTAACCCTGAACCCGTCTAAATGATGATTCATTATTACATTGTGGCAAAAAGTTGGTATTAAATCCGTACTTTTATAAATTGATTAAGAATATCTATATTACTTAAGCATTATAGGTATGAGTTATTCTATTTGAGAAATCAAAGAATCACTCTTGAAAGTAATGGAAATATTGCTTACATACATTCTATCCTTTTCAAAATAATATAATTATAATGATAACCATATATACGTGCAGAATTATTATTCCTGAAATATTAGTTTTCCTTATTTATTACAGTAACCGTTTTCATCTTTTAAATATTATTCATTTTACTAAGACCTTGATATCCAGGCAAGAGTTTTTTTTCCCTCTCTAATTACGCAGAAAAAGGAACATATTTTATATAAATACTCGTTAATTAAAGAGCATTTTATTATTTAAAAAAAAAAAAAGAGAATGTTCAATTAAAGAGATATATTTCGAATAAAAATGTTAACATACAGAACTATTTCTTTCTAGAAGGATAAGACCATTTTAATTTACATTAACTAAATCAGATAATGATATTCATAAGCCTGTATTTATTTACACCTAGAACACAATAACTAATAATGTACTGATGTATTAATCAAATGTATATATTAATTTTATAGAAAAAAATAATAGCTTACATTTTATAACTTTTTTTTAATCAGAAACAAACAATTCTTTTGTACTTTTATGATAATAAGAAATGAAGAATTCTACTTATATATTAATTCCCTAAGGAATTTATTGTTTTGGAATTAATCAATTTGCTAGTGTTATGAAACTGTATTAAT